GGGGGGTGGGGGGGAGGAGTTTAATATCACTTTAAGAAAGGCCGATCTGGATAGCTGAAAGACCAGATAAGCAGGCACGAAGTGAAAATCTTGATGGAAGAAAAAAAAAGTAGCTAGCAGAGTAGAGAAAATATATCTATTCTCCTAGGACACTAGCAAAACGGAGGCATACTGGGAGTAGAAGGGGTTAATACTGGGCTGGCCACAACTGTTTTGTTCGCCAGCGTCCAATTCTCCTGTAAGTGGCAGTATAACCTTAGTCTCTGAATTCCGGTGTCCCTCTACGGAGGAGAAAGAAACATTACTTTCACACATCTGCCTTCTTCCCGAAAATGTCTACCCAGGCTATCCAGAGAAGGGCACTTATATTGAAGGAAACATCATTTAACCATTTAGCTCATGTGATACAACAGAAGGAAGAAGCATGCGCAGGGAAATGCAGCGTAGGACGGTAGTACCAGAAACAGCCACATTGCTCACCAATTTGCCGGTGCTCCAGGAATACCGCTTCCGGCTGACGGGACAAGGACGGAGTTCCTCTCTTCGGTCAGAGTAAGTCTCATCTCCAAGAGCTGCGCTTCCCGATCTGCATCATCTTCTGTCTTATCTGGAGAGGAGAGCAGAAGACTTTCTATAGGTAAAGTGTTATTAAACGCTCCATTTAGAACATGACGTATAGCGGCCACCCTTGTGACCTCGTTTCCGACCAAGACTGCAGCGTGATGTGTCGGCAATCCATGCAACAGCACAAACAAGCAGCTCCAAAGCCCGGGGATGCAAACCACTCCTCAGCTCCTCCTCCAATGGAATTGGCAGCAGCTACCAATGTAGTGTTGGCCATTCATCGCTTGTCATAATGTACAGGATGGTCACATTTAACTGGTAAAAATGGGTATATGAACTGTGCATTGGTGGATTTTAAACCGTGTGGCCGGTCATGTGACCTTTGTGTGAATTCTCTTGTGCATACCCCCCCCCAAAGTTCAGGGAAGGGGGGCAGTTTGAGGAATTCTGTGTTGCATTTGAATATTTTAAGGGCTCATTTACATGGGTGACTTGGAGACGTACAAATGTAAAATTCCGTCATATTCCCCATCCAGGAGCCACAGGTGTGATGTATAACCGGCCATATAAATCAACAGCCATTCACGGCTGTATATGTGTATTAGGGATGCACCGTTACTAGCTTTGGTATTGGTGCTGATACCGAGTATTTGGTCCCCGATATGAGAACTTACGGTCAGAGGAAGCTTTCCTCTGACCGGCAGTGCCGTAAGGGAACATGGAGCCAGCTTCCCGGGCAATCAGGAAGCCGGGTGGCGAGTAATGACTCACCTCCCGGCTTCCCGATTGGCCAGGAAGCCGACTCAATGCCGCCAGAAGCACCAGTATCGGTATTCAGCATCAGCGAGTACCAAAAGCATAATATCAGTACTCATACTTGATACCGAAAAAACAGTATCAGTGCATCCCTAATGTGTATATATGCCGGACTTGTGCATGTGTAGGTTCCTATGCATGCAAATGTTTACACATGTACCGCGTACTGTATCTCTGGTACCTTGAGATACACAATAATAAAAGTTCAGGAACCGTAAGTTTACCAACTTGCACCTGCTGAATGTAAAAATGCCCCGCCAGTATGTAAATACAGACTTTCCATAAGTCAGTCAGACATCTCCCCACCCGCCAACCAATGCAATGTAGTTGCCCCCTACTCGTCACCAACGCTGCGCTGCATTATAAACATGGCTGATCAGATCACATGACTCATTCACCTGGCTTGCTGACGAGTTTCTGCAGTTGCTGGTCCAAATACTCCTGGCGCTTGGTGAGAGCGTTCAACCATTTCCTCTTCAGTCTGTCCAGATCCCGGTCCTGGGAGAAAATAAATCACAATGTCTCCGATGGCTAAACCTCAAGATGGGGAGTTCACCCAGAAACACATCTTAGACCCTGTTCACACCGGGGCGGTTCGGCCGCACGGATCCGCCGACATGAACGATCCCCATACATTGCTATGGGGAACGTTCATGCGACCGCACGAGTCCGCAGGATCCGGACCGCCTCCCGCCCGAACTGCGCCCTGCACTATTTTTGCCCCGCTGATCAGTGCGGTTTCCATACAGGTTTCAATGGAACCGCGCTGATCTGCGTGTTTTTGGGCGTCTTTAATTGCGTTTCAGCGCTGAAACGCAATTAAAAACTCCCAAAACCTTCCTTGTGAGATCAACGCTGTGACCGCGCTGATCCGCAACCGCCCTGGTGTGAATGGGCTCTTAGGGATAAAATGTGGGGCCCAGTCAGAGTGTTGTGACAAAAATAAGCATTGCAAAGTAGCTTATTCAATTGATTGGTCGGTCAACACATACAAATGCACTTGGACCATTTTTCCCAATGCATGCATGAAGCATGTTCCTCTCGCACACCGTGTGACCGTGTGGTTAAAACTCCGCTGCAAAGACTCCCGGCTGTCCACAACATGGATGAGGAAAGCTGGCAGCACACCAAGCTTGTTTCAAAACGAAGCGCTCCTTTTCTTGTTTGATCATATAAATGATCTACGATTCGGAACCCTCTGGAGGGACCCTTTATCTGGCATGTGTAGAAATGATCACACGCCTGATGAAGGGTCCCTGATACGTACCGAAATGCTGCTTATGTATGTGATCACGCAATAAAAGGAGCTCCTTTCTATTTACCGTGCTGGCAACTTATCCCATCCCTTTATTCCAATGCAGCTCACCCCAATGGACAGCTATGCCTCTTGGCGTGCTATAGCACATAACATATATGTGCAATGGGGTGCCATGCGCCCCCCCCCCCATGAGCAATAACTCCACTGCCTAAGCATGCCATTTCTAGGCAGATCTTAAACAGGGGGAAAATAAAACCCAGCTCAGATACAAATGATGTGAAGAATCGGGGTGAAGACTTTTAATGGGAAGGTCATTTCTTTGCCATGTATGCTGCAACTTGTAGCTCCAGGACCAGAATATGAGCCAATTTACCTGTCAAGATATTTACACTTCTGTTGAAGCAGAATTGTGGTCTAGGCAGCCCTGCCGAGCCAGTGACCTCACTTTTCTCCACTGCCGTTAAACAATACAGTTGGATCACTGACCCGCCCACACCATGCTGACTGGACATTAGCAATGGACCCACAGTAATGAGGTCATCACTGAGCTCTGAACTTCTGTCCTCAAGCTGCCAGTGCTAAACTGACAGCACTATGCAATGAAGTGGAACCTGATAAGCTCACAGTTCTGCCCCGCCCCTTAGTCTCAGTCAGGGAATACAGGAAGCTATGATAAGCATATTCAGGTACATACACTAGCTGGATTTGATAATATACATTAGTACAGTTTTTAAGGAATAAATAAGGCAATGAAATGGTGATCTTTTATTTTTACCCGGAGTTCAGCTCTAATAATAAGATGGGGCACAAGATCAATAAAATGCATGTTTTATTACAGGGAAAGGGGAGCATTTTTTAAATGAAATAATGTACAAATCATCTTTTAGTATAGAAGTGTTGTTTTTTTAATACTAGACTGTGCTGGCTGAAGACACAGAGGAGACCGGCAGGATGGGGGCAGGTGAGATGTGCTGACTGCGGTTATAAAGTGTCCCGGGTTATAGCTGTCCTAAAATCTGTATATAAAGGGGAACGGCATAAAACAGGGGTGCAGCTGGGCCAAGATTTCACATGGCACCGGATCAAACTAGACAAGGTTACAGCAAAGCTGACAAAAAAAAGATTGGTCTCAGTCTTCTACATTGGCCTTTGATGCTTTCTTGTATATATATATACACACACACACACACACACACACACACACACACACATACATATATATATTTTTTTAATGTTATTACCTGGTAGCTGTCAATATCCTCCCCGCTGTCCTGTAACACAGAGAACACAGGGAATACAGGTTTAGACATTTCTGAAATAAAACTGTAAATTAAAATGTACGTAAAGTTCTACATGACCAAACTGGAAGCCGACCAAAACCGGCAACGTTCACGTCAGAAGGGACTATGCAAGGTCTCTAAACATTGCGTTTGTATGTGATGCCATTTATATCTAATGTCAAATAAAAGACAAAGAGATAAAAGGTGGACCCTCACTGTGCTGCGGGCTTACTCTCCAGATCAGAACTCCAACGCATATTGAGGACCAACACTCGCCCTCTTCATCAGGGCTTTAGAACAGGAAACAAATGTATACGGCTGCATAAGCCATCTGATGGACACAGCGCTGGTCACTCAGGTAATATACCATATACATTGTATCTTCTATCCAGTCTGTATACATTGTATCTTCTATCCAGCCTGTATACATTGTATCTTCTATCCAGTCTGTATACATTGTATCTTCTATCCAGCCTGTATACATTGTATCTTCTATCCAGCCTGTATACATTGTATCTTCTATCCAGTCTGTATACATTGTATCTTCTATCCAGTCTGTATACATTGTATCTTCTATCCAGTCTGTATACATTGCATCTTCTATCCAGCATTGTATCTTCTATCCAGTCTGTATACATTGCATCTTTTATCCAGTCTGTATACATTGTATCTTCTATCCAGTCTGTATACATTGCATCTTCTATCCAGCATTGTATCTTCTATCCAGTCTGTATACATTGTATCCCCAATTCAGTCCGTATACATTGTATCTTCTATCCAGTCTGTATACATTGTATCCCCAATTCAGTCCGTATACATTGTATCTTCTATCCAGTCTGTATACATTGTATCTTCTATCCAGTCTGTATACATTGCATCTTCTATCCAGCATTGTATCTTCTATCCAGTCTGTATACATTGCATCTTTTATCCAGTCTGTATACATTGTATCTTCTATCCAGTCTGTATGCATTGTTTCCCATTCATAAGCCCTGATGAAGGGAACGCGTTTTGGTACTCGAATCACACTGGCATTCTTCTAACTGATTTCACATTCAAATACAGTTGTATCTTACGTCGTGGAGTGGCGCTTTCATCTCGCATCCATTTGCATTAATAAATCAAGGTAACTGTGGAAATCTCAGAATTCAGACACCTTGTATAAAATCCAATGTAACACTACTGGATAATAACACCAATAGGACAATTCCAGGGTTCCAGAGCTACCTATCCATTCCCCTAACTGCCCAATTAGTGACTTGTTCTGGTACACGGCTCGACCACTGCACCCACCTGGTGTATGTCCTGAGACTTTCCAGACTTTGCATGGACAATTTTCACGCAGCCGACTGACACAGACAAAATGGATTCTTCTATCAGAGGTAAGGTTCCAGAGTCTTGCACAGAGCGCACCTCCACCTGAAGACGACGTGACTGACCCTGTGCAAAGGAAATGAAAATTATTTCATGGCCGCTGAGGTTCTGCATTGGACTGTCAAACCGCAAATAGCGTTCATCTTCTAGATAGGCCAAAGTTAAAATGTAGGTTACCCCAAAAATAAAGCTACCTTGTTATGTGTTGGGTTATTTCTTTAGGTCTTTGTGTTCTGTCATTTCCCGGTGATCCCACTAGTTCCCCATGGCTCCTCTTTCAATGCATGCTGCCATGGTGAATCTATGTCTTGGGATCACTGCTGGGAGGTACTGGATGCTGTGAGGATGCATGGCATGCCTGTATCTCGCATAGGGGACCACACGCCCCACTACGCCCTGCCTGTGTTGATTGACAGGGCATCCCATCTGGAGGTTGTCAAAACTGCGGTTGCCCACCTGCCGCCGTGTGTGCCGACCCACCTGCCCGCTGCTGGTGCGGACTCCCGCTCTGCTACATAAACAAACGACACCTGCTATAGTGGAGAAGGACCTGAATGATGCTGCGTGGTTATGTCACCATCAAATAAAAGCTAAAAATAAAGGGAAGAAGCACCACACGCCATCGATGTCACCATAGAAAACATGACTCATTCCCCAGCTCCAGACCGCCCGCCTTTCATGTGTTTCAACCTCATAGGCCTAGTCTACTTGACTAAGCTTGCTAGGGAGGAACACCAGAAGCAGGTGGGTGCAAAAAGGTCATTTTATTTTAGTGAGGGCACTTCAAAAACAAAAAAGGTAATTTATCCTATATGTCTCCTTTCCATGACCTAACCTAACCCACCCCGGGCTGTGGTTCCCCGGTTTAGTTACATCCAGCAGTAAGAATCTTCACTATACTGGCCGCGCCTGCACATTGGTGCCCCGAAGACTACTATGAGGTTGTGTCCCGAAGCAGGAGACAATCAGAGACAGTGCCAAAGACTAATATGGGGTTCTGTGACTACAGTTATAAGACAGTAAAAGTTACACAGTGTTGTCCTCTCTCCACCCTCATCCTGTTGACTGGATAGTGGAAGAGCAGCAGCAGACTGATGAAGTCATCCCCTGCTTATTTCTACTCTCTCCTACAAATCAGCATGTTCCCTGTCAGCAAATCTGCAGGCAGCACATGTGATTGGCTTCCGAGTGTGTCCCCTCCTTCTCCTAGTCTAAAGCTCTACTGCATGGAAGATTAAGTTCAGGTATGTACACTAGCTGTATAACAAATACATTTAATGGTTTATTAATGACCAATGTCCC